ACAAGCGTACATGTCTATGATATTCGATTCTTATGTTCCATCGGCGGCCGCGCCGGCCCCAAAGGCTCCCCATATCGGCGCCACACGGTCCACGAGGCCCCCAAGAGGGTTCCAAGACAGCCTCAAGAGAGCGTCGAGTAGCACAAGAGAGCTCCAAAACAGCCCGAGAGAGTCCCCAGGGGGCCCGAGGGAACCACCGGAGGATCCCTACATGGTCGGAGAGGGTTCCATGAGGGCCCCAAGACGGCTCAGCTACCCATGACATGCCAAGAGGGGCTTGGGACAGCCGAAATGGGCTCCCAGACGGGCCACAAAAGGCCCAAAATGACCCCCCACGACTGTCCAAGAGGCCGCTGAGAAGGCCCTCCAAAGGCAAAAAACAAGCATTTCCCATGGACAAATGTATATTGTAGTGGCCTCCGGCCAGTGCCGCCGATCCGGGACGCTTCCCTTGCTGCCAGAAGCGTGCGATCGCGGTCATGACTGGCGACGACGGCGAGCGGAGAGGATGTAAATGAGGATTGGGAATGGAGGCAACGGGGTAGGATGATGATGATGATGATGATTATGATGATGATGATGATGATGATGATGATGATGATGAGGAGGAGGAGGAGGAGGAGGAGGGGGAGGAGGAATAATAATCATAATAATAAGAAGAGGAACAATAAGACGAAAACTAATACTAATGATAATATGAATGGTAAGAACAAGAAGAACAGCACTATCAAAGACAATAAGAAGACGAAGAAGACGGAAACGACGAAGCACATGACGATTCAGGAAAATCATAATACTCAGAATAATAAAACCCAGGATGCTATTCATAATCGTAATAATACTCATGACGATCCTAATATTATTATTATGAATAATAAGAAGAATAATAATAGTAATGCGAATACTAAGGAGACTCATATTAAGAACAAGAATACAACATAATAATACTACTTGGAAAAAATAATAACCATAATAGTAATAATCGTGATACTACTAATACTAATCACACCAATTATACTGATAATATTAATACGACTGTGAAGAATGATAAGACTATTTATCATACGACGAATACGAATAGTTACAACAATAATATGAATACTCATCGTAGTAGCAATACTAAGGCATATAATGTACGATTAAGAAGAGGACTAATAATACAAATGCGAATGCCAATAATAATAACAATAATAATGATGATAACAAGACGGCGAACAAGAAACTGATACCGGAGAAGAACCCAATCATATTTTCAAATCGTCCAATTGCTCCTTTATATGGCTATAGGGCTATCGGGCTATAGGGCTATAGGGCTATCGGGCTATAGGGCTGTAGGGCTATCGGGCTATAGGGCTATCGGGCTATAGGGCTATAGGGCTATAGGACTGTGACCTATAGGGCTATAGGGCTATGGGGCTATAGAGCTATCTGGGCTATGGGGCTATAGGGCTATAGGGATATAAGGCTATTAGGGCTATGTAAGGCTACAGGGCTACAGGGCTACAGGGCTATAGGGCTATAGGGCTACAGGGCTATAGGGCTATAGGGCTACTGGGCTATTGGGCTATTGAGCACCCCCAGGCACCCGGGCACCCCCGGGCACCCGGGCACCCGGGCACCCGGGCCTGGCCACCGAAATCGGCCACGCACCTCACCGGGCACCCGGGCACCCGGGCACCGCCGGGCACCCGGGCACCCGGGCACCCAGGCCCGGCCACCGAAATCGGCGACAAACCTCACCTAACCCTTTAATCCGCTAGGACCCCTACAGAGGCAAGCTCTGATTGGGGAATGATAATAACAAGAAGCAAAAGAATAATAAGACGAATGGGAAGGAAATGCACAATACTAATAATGGTAACAATAAGAGTCATATGATTAATACTATGAATAATAAGTAAGAATAGTATTAATACGACTACTAATAATATTCATACTAGTATTATTAATATCAAGAAAAACAATCGTACTAATACGAAAAATGATGATACTACGAGTAATAATACTAATAAGAATAGTACCACTACTAAGAAGAATAAATCAATAAAAATAATAGGAAGAGGAGGAGGAGGAGGAGGAGGAGGAGGAGGAGGAGGAGGAGGAGGAGGAGGAGGAGGAGGAGGAGGAGGAGGGGAGGAGGAGGAGGAGGAGGAGGAGGAGAGGAGGAGGAGGAGGAGGAGGAGGGAGGAGGAGGAGGAGGAGGAGGAGGAGGAGGAGGAGGAGGAGGAGGAGGAGGAGGAGGAGGAGGAGGAGGAGGAGGAGGAGGAGGAGGAGGAGGAGGAGGAGGAGGAGGAGGAGGAGAGGAGGAGGAGGAGGAGGAGGAGGAGGAGGAGGAGGAGGAGGAGGAGGAGGAGGAGGAGGAGGAGGAGGACGAGGAGGAGGAGGAGGAGGATCATGATGAGGTGGAGGAGGGTGGATGGGGGGAGGGACAGGAGTAGCAGAATGCCGAGGATGAGGAGGAGCAGGAGAAAGCGGGAAGTGGAAGAGGGGGAAGGTGAGAAGGTGCGGGCCTTTGTGTCATCATGGATGTGAAAGGGCGCCGAAGACGGGAGAAAATGTGAAAGCGTGGAAGAACGTTTTGTATTGTAACGCTTGTGTTCAGACGTAAGCGTCGTGGAAGCATTCGGGTCGGTTTTGGGCTTCTCGGAGGGGTCTCTGAGGCAGCTTGGAGGCCTGTGCAAGGCGTCTTGGATGCATGTCTTGAAACTATTGGGGCCTTTAGGGGCTTCAGGGGGCCTCTTCGGGTCCAGTTGCAAGCGTCTTGGGGCCTCTTCAGGCCTCTTGGGGGCCTCTGGCGGCCTGCTGGGGGCTTCTTGGGCCATCTTCGGCACTTTTTCCGCCGTCTTGGCGCCCTCTCAGGCGCCTCTTGGGCACGTCCTGGGGCCCTCTTGGCCTTCCCGGGGGCCTCTTGGGTCATCTCGGGCCCTTCTTGGGCCGTCTCGGAACCCTCTTGGCGGCTTCTGGGGCCGTTTTGTGGCTCTGTTGGGGCGTCTGCAACCTCCCTTGCTCGCCGCCGGTTCCAGCCGTCAGAGCGGGGGAGAGGCACCCTTCTGTGCACTGGTTTCGTTCCCCGTCACCTCTGGACCGCCTCTGCAGAGGGGTATGGGATGCCGAATTTGCCCCCCCTCCCCTCCCCTCCCCTCTTCCCCCTCCTGGCTGGTTTTGCAGGCGCCATGCTCTAGGCCGCCCAGATGGGGTCCGAATACATGGGGTCGAGGGACTGCGCCGATCGCCGATGCATCGGCAATGCGGCTCGATGTGGAGCCCAACGTTCTCCACGCCGACGTCGCCGATTCGTTGCCGATGCGTCGGCGATGCGTCGGCGATGCGGCGTGATCCTCCGACCCCATCTGCTCCAGCTCCAGCGGGGAGGCCGCTACAGTCGGACCGAGGTATAAGACCGAGGTCGGTTCGGGGATGGTGCCCTAACGTTCTTCCCAGAGATCCGATGTCGTGATTTTTCAATGCGAGGTTCCGGGAAGTCTCGACCCATTCCCCAGGACCGGTTTTGCATCCTGAGCCATTTTTTGACGGTCCCGAGGCCCGGTAAGGCCCCCTAGAGGCCGAAAACTGAGAAAACCCCCGTCGTGATTTTTTCAATGCGTTGGATCTCTGGGTTCGTGTTTTTTGATGTTCTCGTTCATCCTGGGGGGGGGGGCACCCTGGGATGTTCTGCATGTTTGGAGCCCCCCGGCCACCTCCTGCCCTCGACCAGGGCTGGACCCAGACGGTGCAAACCTGCGCGGAACGCCACAAGTCGATGCTTGCACGTAGCTGAGATGCACACCGATCGACAGGGAGTGCTGAGAAGCAGCAGTCTAAGGTATCTAGACGCCTGAGATCGGTCTGCTACTAGAGCGAGCTGCGCTTCCTCCTCCTCCTCCTTCGATGAACGGCTCAGCCCTGCCCTCGAACCCCCCCTCCGGCGGCAGGCGAGCCGCGTGCGCGCCGCGGGCCTGCTGCTGACGCTGGTGGCCGGGTCCTCCCGGGCGTGCCGGTCGGCCTTCGTGGCGGAGGCGCGGCCCCCGCCGGCGGCCCTCGGGTGGGGCGCGTCGGGGGGGGAGTGGCAGGGAAGAGGGGGAGGAGGGGGAAGGGCCGGAGGAGGAGGAGGAGGAGGAGGGGGAGGAGGAGGAGGAGGAGGAGGAGGAGGAGGACGAGGAGGAGGACGAGGAGAAGGGGGAGGAGGACGAGGAGAAGGGGGAGGAGGAGGAGGAGGAGGAGAAGGATGAGGAGGAGGAGGAGGAGGAGGAGGAGGAGGAGGAGAGAGGAGGAGGAGGAGGAGGAGGGGGAAGGGCCAGAGGAAGAGTATGAGGAGGAGAAGGATCAGGCGCGATCGCAAACATGGATCAAGGGGGCGTGGATTAGCGACGGGTCCCGTCTCCAATGGAAATCGCGGAATGTCCGCCGCCAGAAGAGGTGGCACCGGCCGCATTTTGGGGAGAGCACTTCCCCCGATCTATGGATTTGGCGACCGCGTGCCAAATCCATGGATCGCTACGTAATCCATGTTTGCGCGTCCCCGAAAGGAGGAGGAGGAGGAGGAGGAGGAGGAGGAGGAGGAGGAGGAGGAGGGGAAATATTCATTTTTTTTTTTTTTTTTTTTTTTTGTTGTTGGTTTTTGTTATTAATGTTGTCATTTTTTTTGTTGGTTTTTGTTATTAATGTTGTCATGTTGTTGTTGTTGTTGTTGTTGTTGTTGTTGTTGTTGTTGTTGTTGTTGTGTTGTTGTTGTTGTTGTTGTTGTTGTTCTTGTTGTTGTTGTGTGTGTTGTTGTTGTTGTTGTGTTGTGTTGTTGTTGTGTTGTTGTTGTTGTTGTTGTTGTTGTTGTTGTTGTTGTGTTGTTGTTGTTGTGGTTGTGGTTGTGGTTGTGTGTGTTGTTGTTGTTGTTGTTGTTGTTGTTGTTGTTGTTGTTGTTGTTGTTGTTGTTGTTGTTGTTGTTGTTGTTGTTCTCTCTCTCTCTCTCTCCCACTTCTCGTCGCTTTCCGTTTCCCTTTGCATTTTCGGCGTCGTTCCACGGGCTTTCGGCGGCCGAGAAACGGCACCCGCTGGCCCTCGCCGCGAGGGCGCCGCCGCCGCTGTCGCCGCCGAGCATCGAGCATCGAGTGGCGGGCGAGACTTCTGGGCGTCGATGGGGCTCGTTCGGGCCTGCCGCTACGGGGGCGAGTCGTGCTGCCTGGGCCCCGGGGTGGCACCGCCCCGACATGCACTTTGCTGTCAATGACGCTCGCGGAGGCAGCTGTCCGTCACGCGCGTGGCGGGCCCTCCTCCCACCCAATTAGGTGCAGTCGCCTCAACCAGGCACCGCCTCTCGAGGCGTTGGGCGCCGCCGCGCGGCGCCACGACCGCTCAGCGCGCGCGTGCGTCGCAAAAAGGGCTCGTTTGGGCCTCCACGACTGCGCTGTCGATGCCATCGCCGTCGCCTCCGTTGTTCACCGAGCGCCTGCCACTGCTCGCCCAAAGTGCTTGTTCGCAAACGTCCGAACAACAATCATACGCCTGCCTCGGTGTCATGGGTCGTGCACCCCCCGCTGCAGACCCAGGCCGCTTACGAGCAGCTACTTTGCGAGCAGTGGATCGCTCTTGTCCATTTGTTCTCGCCGAGGCTTCCTCGTTGCTGTGTATTGGCTCTCGAAGGCTTTGGAGAGAGTTGCGGGCCCCGCGCCGCCGCCGAGGGCCATCGAGCCCCGCCGCGCGTTTGTCGAGGGCTGTCGGCCTCTCCGCGCTGGCGCCGAGGGCCGCCCAGCGCCCGCCGACCTCTGGTGTTAAGTCGGGCTTCGACCCCTGAGAGCGTCGCACGCAGTTCTGTCCCTCGCGGGCCACCTTGACATGACTTTCACTTTGACCTCGACCTATCTTCGGATATGTTGTGCCACCTGGGAGGCCATCTTGGGCAATCTGGGGCCATCCTGAAACCATCATGGGACATGCTGGACCCTCAAGCGACCCGCGGCGCCCCTCTGCAGACCCAGTGTAGGGGGTAGGGTTAAGTCGGGTCTGTCCCTCTGCAGGAGTAACATCCAAGGATCGTCTAAACATCGTCTGGGAACGATTTGTCTCTCGTATTTTTTACCTAACAGCGAAGACTGATAGGTTTCGAATGGTTTCAAAAGAAAGCATCATGACTCCCCCAGGGGGGTCCGGGCAGGATCCGGGGAGAATCCGCGGAAGTCGTTTTAAGCAAACAGTTACACATTTCGTGGTCTTCGAGGTCCCAGAACTCCATTCCCGGGCCACATTCTGAATGCCCGGAGCCAACTGTAGGCCACTTCGTGTTCTTCGAGTTCCCAGAACTCCACTCCCGGGCCACATTTTGAATGCCCGGAGCCAACTGTAGGTCACGTCGTGCTCTTCGAGTTCCCAGAACTCCATTGCCGGGCCATAGTTTGAATGCCTGGAGCCATTTAGAGGCCACTTCGTTGTCTTCGAGTTCCCAGAACTCCATTCCTGGGCATGATTTTGATTGCCCGGAGCCAACCGTAGGCCACTTCGTGTTCTTCGAGTTCCCAGAAATCCACTCCCGGGCCACACTTTGAATGTTGAGGCAGGCTGATGCTGAGGCTGGGGCAGGCTGAGGCAGAGGCAGGCTGATGCTGAGGCCGAGGCTGAGGCCGAGGCTGAAGGCAGACTGAGGCTGAGGCTGAAGCAGGCTGAGGCTGAGGCTGAGGCAGGCTGAGGCTGAGGCTGAGGCAGGCTGATGCTGAGGCAGGCTGAGGCTGAGGTTGAGGCTGATGTAGGCTGAGGCTGAGGTAGGCTGAGACTGACGCCGAGGCCGACGGCAGACTGAGGCTGAGGCTGAAGCAGGCTGAGGCTGAGGCAGAGGCAGGCTGAGGCTGAGGCTGAGGCAGGCTGATGCTGAGGCAGGCTGAGGCTGAGGCTGAGGCAGGCTGAGGCTGAGGCCGAGGCTGAAGGCAGACTGATGCTGAGGCTGAAGCAGGCTGAGTCTGAGGCTGAGGCTGAGGCAGGCTGAGGCTGAGGCTGTGACTGCGACTGCCGTTGCCACTGCGACTGTCATCGCGAATGCGACTACGACTGCGAGAACAGCAGAATTCTACAACCGGATTCTCATCTGAATCCTAAGGGGAATGCTTGCAGATATGCTCCTACACATCGCTGTTAGGTTGCTTTGCCGGGATAATTTGGGCTAGTGTTGCCAGTCTCTTCTGATTATTAGTTTTCGCCCAAACTGAACCTCTAGGAGGACATGGCCCGACTTCACTCTGGCGCCGACCTCCGTCGCCGCCGAGGGCTCGGCGCCGACGCCGCCTTCTGCGCCGCCGACGAGGGCCGCCGAGCGCTGCCAGGGGCCGCCGTGGGCCTCCGATGGGGGCGGCGGCGGCGGCGGCCCTCGGGTGTGGCGCTCGTGGGGCCCTGCTGGCCTCCCGAGCCCCCAGGCGTTGCGGAGACGCCTGCAGGCGGCTCGGGTCCTCGGAGCTCGACGCTCGAGCCGCGGCTCGACGCTCGACCCTCGACGCTCGGCCCCCGACGCTCGGCCCTCGAGGCTCGACCCTCGAAGCTCGAGCCTCTGACGTTCCGAGCCTCGAGCCAAGGGCCCGACGAACGGGCGTGGACCTCTCGGCGGCCTCCAGAGGCCTCTGGAGGCCCCCCCCCCGCCCGGGGTACCCGAACGAGGCCTCTGGAGGCCCGGCACCGTGTCAGGGACGCCAGAGAACTTCGCTCCCCAGCCACCGGACCCAGAGAGCGGTCCGCGATCCTCGAGCAAGCGACGGCGATGGACGGTGACCTTGCCGCACGCCGGCGCCGCCGCCGCCGCCGTCGGTCGTGTCCTTCGTCGCCGCCGCGGTAGCCCGACAGATCCCGACGTCAATCGACGACGTCAACTCTGTAAGAACGGTTTTTTGAAGGCAGATCTGTCTTCAAATCTGTAAGAACGGTTTTTTGAAGGCAGATCTGCCTTCAAAAAACCGTTCTTACAGGGTAGCCCGACAGATCCCGACGTCAATCGACGACGGCCAGCGGCCGGCGGCCGTCGTGCCGCGAGCTCCGAGGGGCTGCCGCTGCTCTTGGAGGTGCTCGGCGAGGCGGCCGCGGCGCTGTGCGGGGGGGGGCTCGCCGAGCCTGGCGAGGCCTGCGGCGGGGCGGAGAGCTCGTCGGTGAGTCGTCAGTCGGTCGTCGTCGGTGAATCGTAGATCGCAAATCGTAGATCGTCAGTCGTCGGTTGTCAGCTGTCGGTGTCGTCATCATCATCATCATCAACATCATCATCAAAATCATTATCACTATCATCATCATCACCATCATCACCATCATCAGCAACATCATCAGCATCGTCATCACCACCATTATTTACCAACATTATCAACATCAATAGCATCATCATCATCACCATCAGCAGCAGCATCAGCATCATCATCATCACCATCATCATCATCACCACCACCATCAGCACCACCGTCATCATCATCGTCATTTCCATCGATGAAAATCATCATCACCATCATTATCATCATCACCGGCATCAACATCAACATCAGCATCATCATCACACGAACACCACGATCACCATCATCAACATCATCACCACCATTATCACTATTGTTACCACCATCATCATCATCATCATCTCCATCGTCGTCATCGTCATCGTCATCATAACCATCATCACAGTCATCATCATCATTATCCTAATCATCACCATCATCATCCTCATCATCATCAGCATCGTCATAATCTTCGCCAGCAGCATAGTCATCGTCGTTATCGTCATTGCCATCATCATTGTTAGCATCAGCATCTGCATCATCATCATCATCATCATCATCATCACTATCATCACCAGCATCATCACCATCATCATCATCATCATCATCATCACCATCATCGTCATTGCCATCGACATGGTCATCATCACCACCACCATCGTGATCATTATCATCATCACCATCATCAAACCACCATCGCCATAATCACCATCATCACCATCATCATCATCATCATCGTCATCATTATCATCCTCATCGTCATCGTCATCGTCACCAGCCCCATCATCATCATCACCACCATTATCATCATCATCATCCTCATCGTCATCCTCATCCTCATCCTCATTCTCGTCCTCGTCCTCATCCTCATCCTCATTCTCATCCTCGTTGTCATCATCATCAGCATCGTCGTCATAATCGTTATTATCATTACTATCATTGTTATTATTATCATCGTTATTATTATTACTATTATTTATATTGTTGTTATCATTACTACCAGTAATATTATTATCATTGGTATTCTTATTCTTATCATTGTCATTATTATTAATCTTACTATCATTTTTATTACTGTTATCATTATTCGTATTACTATTATTATTATTATTCTTAGTATTTTTATTATTATTATTACTACTATTATCATGATTATTATAGTTTTTGTTTTTGCTGTTATCATTATTATTATTAGTATTCGTATTAGTATTAGTATTAGTATTATTGATATTACTATCATCCTCGTCGTCGTCGTTGTCGTCGTCGGTCGATAGTTGTTGGTCGGCGTCATCGTCGCCTGTTCCCCTGCTCCCCTCCCCCGTCCCTCCTCGCCGTCCCACTCGCCCTCCCCCTTGCTCTCCCGTTCGCGCTCATTGGTGGAGAGAGGCGGAGGAGGAGGGGGAATGGGGACGGGGAGGAGAATCGAAGATCGAGGATCGATGATTGAGAATTGCTTGTGAGGGGGCGAGGCGAAAATGGGGATCCGGGGAAGGGGAGATTACGAAAACTGCTGCGTGCAGCTGATGTCGGCCTCGCCGCCAGTCGCTTTTCTCGGTGAACTGACGCCTCTAGCGCCAAGATGCGCTGGATAGACCAGCTGCATGCAGCCAATTCGCCAACCCTCCTTTTGCTGTCCCCACCCTTTGTCGGTCCTGATCGTCATCGTCGTCATCGTCGTCGATCGTCGTCGATCGTCGTCGGTCGTCGGTGATGATCGCCGATCGGATTTCGAGGATCACAGAATCCGCTTCAAAGTTCTGGCCAGAACGCACCCTAGGCCCCAGGAGAGATCGGGCCGTCGGCGTCGGCGTCGTCGTCGACGATGTCGGCTATCAAGGATGAAGGTCTTCACCTTTCGGCCTCACTAGGCCTCACTAGGCCTTTGGAGGCTTCTGGGGACCGCCCGGTGTGACCTCGGTGGGCCTCTAGTCGTCGTCGGCGTCAGCGCAGGACCAGGGGGCAGACTTTTCCCCTCCCGCTACACCACCTCCTGCCTCGCCTTTCCTTCTCCTCCTCCCTCTTGTTCGGCAGCTGCTCCAAGGGGGTGGTCCTCTGCCCAGGGGAGGCTGCAGCAGCGAGCGACGATGTGCTGCTCACCGAGTCTGCAGGGTGGGCCCTTTCCTTTTCTGTGCACTTCAGCTTTGTCTTCGGCCTCGGCTTCGGCTGTGATGCACCTCGAAGCGCCTTCGCGCCAAGAGCCTTCGGGCGAAGCTCACCCGAGGCGGGTTTCCGCTCTCGAGGGTGCCTCCCTCCCTCCTCTTCGCTCATACCCTTGCCGCCGCGGTTTCTTCCGACAGCGTGGGCCCCATGAGGGCTCGAGTCCTTCCCCAGCGGCCGTTTTCTCATCCCGGGCCGTCTTTTGACGGCCCCTGGGGGCCGGCAACGGCCCCCAGGGGCAGGAGACCGTTGCCCACGGCCCTTCCGCCGTGGACGTCTCAAGACGCGAGGGGGGCCCCGGGCTCGGGGGTCGAGAGCCTCCAAGCCAGGGCCTGTCTTGGGATGTGTGCACGGGGATCGGATCTCGAGGGGGATCCGGCCGCGGGGATGAGAAGCTCGGTGGCTCAGGGAGGTCCTGAAGGCAAGACTCCTGATCCTCGGAGTTCGATCTCCGAAGTTCGATGATTGAACTGCTCCCTCCTCCCTCCTCCCTCTCCTCCCTCTCCACCCTCTCCTCCCTCTCCTCCCTCTCCTCCCTCTCCTCGGGGTTCGGATTCTGGGAGAGCTCGTTGGTCTGCCGTGCAGGCCGCCTTCTGGGCGCAGGGCTGCATGCTGTGCCTCTCCGCGCTGCCCACGGAGGAGGCGCCCTCGCCCGAGCAGGTGCTCTACATCCACAGGCGCCGCCGGGGCCGCCTCCTCCCCACGGGATCGAGGGGCGAGGATGGAGGCGTGAGGATCGAGGGGGGAAGAACGAGGCTTCTGCGCGGTTTCGCCTGTTCTTGGGCTTCGGAGGCCTACCAGAGGCTTCTGTGGGACCCAGGGGACTTCAGGTGCTTCCAGGGACCGCAGTGCACCTCCAGAGACCTCTGGGGACCGAGGAGCGAGGATCGAGGTTCTCGGACGTGCTCGGGTCTTTTTACGCCTCCTGGTGTAGCAGCTCTCTGGATTCTCCCCCCCCGGGTTTAGCAGATAGTATCCGAGCCCAGGTTTCGTGCTCGGTGTTGCGTGTTGAGTCCGAGCCTTGACTGTATGCTCGGTACCCACTGTGGCTCGAGGGTAAGGCTAAATCGGGCATGTCCTTCTACAGAAAGAACAGTCAAAAATAGTAAAAAATAGTCTGAGGATGATTTTTGACAATTTTTGACAGTTTTTGACCATTTTGGAAAATTTGCTGTCATGTTTTCCGTCCAAAATCCGCCTGTAGGGGGACACGCCCGACTTAACTTCAGGGCTGGACTCGTTCAGAGGTTCTGGCCAGCACGCGCCGCAGGGGATAGGGCTGGGGCCAGGCCCCTGGCCTTCCTGGCATCCACGATTTTTCACGGAAAGAGCGGTCCTAGACGCCTTGTGCGACGTCTTGAGCGGGATGTCTTGAACGGTCTTGTGTGGGCTCTTGTGTCGACTTCTGGGCATTGATTCGCGTTCTGTTGCTTTGTTCTCCTGCACACGCCGTCTCGTGCGCGTCTTGTGCGCGACATCTCTTCGCTCGACCATTGGTTCTGTTAAAACTAGTGGATGCCCAAATGTAGTTGAAGTAGATAAGGTCGATGGATCGCGCCGCATCACTGGTGCATCGACGATGTGGCTCGATGTGGAACCCGATTTTCTCCACGCCAATGCCGCCGATGCGCTGCCGATGTCGCCGATGTGTTGCCGATGCATTGCTCTGAGCACATCGATCGTTCAACAAGAAGGTCAAACGACGTCCGAAAAACTCGAACTTCGATCCTTCAGCCTCAAACCTCGACGATGGATCCTTTATCCTTCGACCTTCGATCCTCGAACCTCCAGCTTCGGTCTCCGATGACACGAACCTCGATCCGCGACCTCCGATCCTCGCTCCCTCGATTCCTCGATGCTTCGGTCCTGGACTCCTCGACTCTCGGTCCTCGATCCTGCCACATCGATCCTCGATGCTCTGCTCTTCGATCCCCCGACCCTGAGACATCCCTGATCGTCAAAGGGGCGGCCTCGGTCTCGCTCCTCCGATCCCTCGGAGCCTCCGATCCTCGACCCTCGGGGAGCGACCTCTCCTCCGCCCCCCCCGGCCGAGGCAGCTCTGCTGGCTGGACCGCTGGTCCATCGCCCAGGCGGCTTCGCTCGGCGACGGCGAGCAACAGCCAGGCACGGGGATCGCGGCCGCCGTCGTCGTCGTCGTCGTCGTCGTCGTCGTCGTCGTCGTCGTCGTCGTCGTCGCCGTCGTCCCGCGCGCGCGGATGCGCGTGCGGTGCCATGGGAGGAGGAGGGCGGATGAATGGATGGGACGAACGGCGAGGACGGAGGAGGGTCGCCAACCAGGAGGATGGATGGATGGATGGAGAGAAGGGCAAGGGTGATGATGATAATGCTGATGCTGATGCTGATGCTGATGATGATGATGATGATGATGCTGATGTTGCTGATGATGACGTGGGTGATGATGATGCTGATGATGATGATGCCGCTGCCGATGCTGATTGTGATGATGCTGAGGTTGATAATGATGATTACGACGATGACATTCGGGATGATGTTGATGATGACCGAGAGATGACGGTGATGATGATGATCATGATGATGATGCTGGTGAGTATGAAGATCATGATGCTGATGATGCTGGTGATGATGATGATGGCGATGATGCTGATTCTGATGCTGCTGCTGCTGATTATGATTGACATGTTCATGATTACGATGACGACGATGATGATGCTGATGATGACGCTCATGATGATGATGATTATGCTGATGTTGAATATGATGATGATGATGATTATGATGATGATGATGATGATGCTGACGGTGATGCTTCTGAGGATGATGATGCTGCTGATGATGATGCTGATGATGATGGTGGTGGTGGTGGTGATGATAATGCTGATGGTGCTTATGACGAGGACGGTGGTGACGATGATGATGCTGATGATGACGATGATGATGCGGCTGATGATGCTGCTGCTGATGATGATGATGATGACCATGATGATGCTGATGCTGCTGATGATTTGCTTATGATGGTATTGTTGATGATGATGATGCTGATGCTGATGATGCTGATGCTGATGCTGATGCTGATGCTGATGATGATGATGATGATGATGATGATGATGATGATGATTATGGTTGTGGTGATGATGCTGATGATGATGGGGATTGTGACACTGATGCGGATAATGATAATGGTAATGCTTATGCCGATGCCGACGATGCTGCTGCTGATGCTGATCTCGTTGATGATGATGAGGTTGACGGTGGTGTTGGTGTTGGTGACGATACTGGTGGCGTTGGTGATGATGCTGCCGATGTCAATGGCGACGACGACGACTCCGCCGCTGGTGACGACGAGGATGATGATAATAGCGATGATGCTGATGATGATGATCATGATGATGCTGATGATGATGATGATTCTCATGATTATGTTTATGATGATGATGATGATGATGATGATGATGATGATGATGATGATGATGCTGTCAGTGATGATGATGTTGATGCTGATGCTGATGATGACTATGATGATGTTGATGGCAATGATGCTGATGCTGATTTAGATGATGATGCTGATGATGTTGTTGATGATGCTGCTGATGATGATGCTGATAATGACGTTGTTGTTGTTGATGATGATGATGATGATGATGAGGATGATGATGATTTGCTTATGATGGCATTGTTGATGATGATGATGATGATGATGATGATGATGATGATGATGATGATGATGATGATGCTGCTGATGCTGATGATGCTGATGCTGATGATGCTGATGCTGATGCTGATGCTGATGCTGCTGCTGCTGATGATGATGATGATGATGATGATGATGATGATGATGATGATGATGATGATGATGATGATGATGATGATGATGATGATGATGATGATGATGCGAAAGAGCGTGTTCTACCGCTGCTGGCGGAAAACCGGGGGGGTCACTGATGGTTCCCAACCTGTCCCCCCCCCCCGCGAAAAACGGGAGGGGGGGGGGTCACTACCGGTTCGAACCCCTCCCCCCCCCCAGTCCATCATGGAAAGGGGGGAGGTCACTACCGGTTCGAACCCCCTCCCCCCTTCGAAAACCGGGGGGGGGGGGTCACTACCGGTTCGACCCCCCCCCCCCCCCCTTCGCCGCCGGCAAACGATTCCCGCTCCTGGGGACAGTTGGACAGTGGCGGGGATGCTGGAACAGTGGTGGGAACGGTGGTGGTGCGGACAGTGGTGCGGGGACAGTGGGACAGTGGTGCGGACAGTGGTGGGGGACGGTGGTGGTGGGGACAGTGGTGAGGGGGCAGCGGGACAGTGGCGGGGGCAGTGGGACAGTGGTGGGGACGGTAGTGGTGGGGACAGTGGTGAAGGCGGTTGTGAGGACAGTGGTGGGATAGTAGTACAGTGGGGAAAGGGGTGGGGGCAGTGGGGACAGTCGGACAGTGATGGGGACAGTGGGGACGGTGGGACAACACAGTGGGACAGCGGCGGGGACAGTGGGACAGTGGTGGGTACAGTGGGGACAGTGGGACAGTGGTGGGGACCGTGGGGGAAGTGGGGAGAGTGGGACCGTGGTCGGACAATGGTGGGGAGAGTGGGGACAGTGAGACGCTGGTGGGGGCACTGGTGGGGACAGCGGGGACAATGGTGGGAACAGTGGGGACAGTGGGACAGAGGTGGGGACGGTGGTGGTGGGGACAGTGGTGTGGGGACAGTGGGACAGTGGTGGAAACAGTGGGACAGTGGAGGGTACAGTGGTGGTGGGGACAGTGGTGAGGGCGGTGGCGAGGACGGCGGTGGGACAATGGGACACAGGTACAGTGGGGACAGTGGTGGGGACAGTGGAGACAGTGGCGGGAACAGTGGGACAGCTCAGTGGGACAGCGGCGGGGACAGTGGGACAGTGGGACAGTGGGGACAGTGGGACAGTGGTTGGGGCCGTGGAGAGAGGGGAGAGTGGAACCGTGGTGGGAACAGTGGTGGGGACAGTGGGGAGTGCGACAGTGGTGGGGGCACTGGTGGGGACAGTGGGGACGGTGGTGGGAACAGTGGGGACAGTGGTGGTGAGGACGGTGGTGCTGGGGACAGCAGTGGGGGATGTGGTGCGGACGGTGGTAGGGACCCGGGAGTCGTTTGCTGGCGGTGAGGTTGGGAGGGGGGGGGGAGGGGTTCGAACCGGTAGTGACCCCCGCAGTTTTTTTTTGGGGGGGGTCGAACCGGTAGTGATCCCCCCCCGTTTTCTGGAGGAGGGGGTTCGAACCGGTAGTGAGCCCCCCTCGGTTTTCTGGAGGGGGGGGGGGTTCGAACCGGTAGTGACCCCCCCAGTTTTCTGGATGGCGGGGGGGTTCGAACCGGTAGTGACCCCCCTCGGTTTTCTGGAGGGGGGGGAGGGGTTCGAACCAGTAGTGAGTCCCTCTGGTTTTCTGGGGGGGGAGGGGTTCGAACCGGTAGTGACCCCCCTCGGTTTTCCGGAGGGGGGGGGGTGTTCGAACCGGCAGTGACCCCCCCCGGTTTTCCAGAGGGGGGGGGGGTAGGGGAGGGGGGGGGGGTTTGCCGGGGGGACGCGGGGGGGTCCAGCAGGGGGGGGGATTTTCAGGGAGGGGACCCCCAGGTTCCGGAGGAAGAGGGGGGGTGACTTTCCACAGTGAAGCGGCGGTGGATCACGCTTTATCGATGATGCTAATGATGATGGGATGATGATGATGATGGTGGTGGTGGTGGTGATGATGATGATGATGTTGATGATGATGTTGATGATGATGTTGAGGACGATGCTGCTGCTGATGATGATGGTGATGATGCTGATGGTGGTGATGATGCTGATGATGATGCTGGTGATGATGATGATGCTGATGAGGATGCTGTTGGTGATGATGACCATGATGATGCTGCTGATGATGATGATGCTAATGCTGCTGCTGCTGCTGATGATGATGATGATGATGAGGCTGCTGCTGATGATGCTGGTGCTGGTGATGATGACGATGATTATGATGAAGGTGATGGTGATGATGATGCTGATCATTATGATGACGACGATCATGAGGATGAGGATGAGGGCGAGGATTGGGATGATGATGATGATGATGATGATGATGATGATGATGATGATGATGATGCATCTGCTGCTGCTGCTGATGACGATGATGCTGATGCTGCTGCTGCTGATGATGATGATGCTGATGCTGATAATGATGATGAGGATGATGATGATGATGATGATGAAGAAGAATAATAATAAGAAGAATACTAAGTTGTTGTTGATGATGATGATGATGATGATAATGATGATGATGATGATGATGATGATGATGATGATGATGATGATGATGATGATGATGATGATGATGATGACGATGAAAACATGTTCGGAGCACATCCGCGCCGTTCCAAAGGAGCACAGCTTACAATTTACTTGCCAAGCCGAAGCAACAAGTCTAGTGCAGCCACAGGGGGGGGCGTTTTGGATCGCTCCTCATCGCGCTTTCGATCCTCCTCTTTCTCATCCCTCCTCCTCCTCCTCTTCCTCCCCCTCCCCAGTCAGCCGCATGTACCACCCCTAAGGGCCCCTACAACCTTATCTTCCTCCGTTTCCGTCACCTCCTATTCTCTCTTCCTTCCTCCTCCTTCCTCCTCCTTCCACTCCTCCCATCCGCGACCAGCTGAGGATCGGCTCGGGTTTGGGGCCTGCCCGGGTCCCGGGCGAGGGGGTGAGGCGTCGCGCAGCAGGTGCCTTCGTGTGCTTCGTATATGTTCGCCTCGCAACCGCTGTTGTGCTCGTTGCTGGCGCGTTTCCTTGTGTGTCTTCGTGTGCCTTGTGCATGAGGTGATGGGCCTGTTTTCCACCACCACCACCACCATAAGTTGGAGGGGGGAATGAGGAGGAGGAGGCGGAGGAGGAGGAGGAGGAGGAGGAGGAGGAGGAGGAGGAGGAGGAGGAGGAGGAGGAGGAGAGGACGACGGAGAAGAGGAGGAGGAGGAGGAGGAGAGGAGGAGGAGGAGGAGGAGGAGGGAGGAGGAGGAGGAGGAGGAGGAGGAGGAGGAGGAGGAGGAGGAGGAGGAGGAGGAGGAGGAGGAGGAGGAGGAGGAGGAGGGAGGAGGAGGAGGAGAGGAGGAGGAGGAGGAGGAGGAGGAGGAGGAGGAGGAGGAGGAGGAGG